AACCCCCTCCCAAGCCCCGTGGCAGGAAACCGAAGCCCGAGCGTGTCCCGACCAGCTCCAGCAGCGACAGGTGAGACCAGTGAGCACCCATCACCCTCAGGGCTGGGCTGGAGAGTCACCCCATCCCCTTTGCACAAGGGGTCCCAGCGAGCTCCATCCTCTGCAGTGACAGCGACAGCGACGTGGACCGCATCAGCGAGTGGAAGAGGAGGGATGAAGAACGGCGGCGGGAGCTGGAGGAGAAGAGGAAGAGGGAGCAGGAGGAAGAGATCCGTCGGCTCCGGGAGCAGGAGAAGGAGGAGAAAGAGAAGAGAAAGGAGAAAGCAGAGAAGAGCGAGGAGGTGCACTCGGACTCGGACAGCAGTGCTGAGGATGAAGTGGCCAAAAAGGGCCGGAAAGGCCGGGCCAAGGCCCCATCCTCCTCGGACTCTGAACTGGAGCTGGAGAAAGAGGTGAGTGCAGAGCTGTGGGGAGCTGGGGACAAGCAGACAGCCCTTCAGCTCCCTGGCAGGGACCTCCAGCAGTGGCAGGGACCTGGCATTGTGCTGGGGTTGCCTGTGCAGCACTGGGATGGGTTGTGTCCATAGGGACATCCACACCTTGCAAATGGGAGCTCTTCCCCTGGCCTAGGCCACCCCTGCTGTCTTCTCTGGATGGGGGACCATCAGCTGGATGGGCAGCACAGGAAGGGTTGTGGAGGGCTCTCTGCCCATGGGCAGAGGTGAGGGCAAGTTCCTCCCAGTGGAGGGGGACTGGAGAAGCAGCACAAAGATCCTGATGTGTGGAAGGACTCATGGGTCAGCCATTTGGGTGCTGCAGGCTGTGGGAGGGCTGCTCCAGGTACCAGGACATTCCTTTTGGAATGGTCCCTTTTGGAATGGGCCTTTCTTACCCTGTGCAGGGGATGCTCCTGCACCCAAACTGACTGGCAGCAGTGGGGTGGCTGCTGTCATTGCTGTCATTGTTGGCGATGGCGGTGGGACTGTCTCCCCCCTGCAGCAGGGAGGGCTCAGCCTCTCGCCTGCATTGTTCTCTCCTCCAAGGTAAAGAAGCCAGTGAAGAAGCAGCCCTCGGAGTTGTCAAGGAAACCAAATCAGAAGGAGAAGAGGGGCCGAGCAGAGGAGAAGCCACGGAACAAGTCAGCACCTCCTCCTGCAGCTTTGTCCTTGGGGACTGGGCTGTTGCTCTGCTGCTGCCCAGCCCGTCCCTGGGGTGGGGATGGGGCTCCCATGGAGCTGCCCCATGCCAGCAACACCCATGGAGGGGCCGGGTCCCTCCCCTCCTGCCTCCTAGAGCTGCAGGGGCTGGAGGAGGTGTTGAGGGACCAGGGTGAGCTCCCCTGGTGGTTTCCATCTCACGTTTGGGGCATCACTTTGGGGCTTTGCTTTGCTGCAGTCCCGGGGAGCTGGGGCATGGGGGAGCTGCTGTCTCAGGGCTCCTGCTGCCTGGGAGCTGGGGGGTGTGTGTGGTGTCCTGACAGGGCTCTGGGGTGCACACCCGATGTGCCATCACCCTCCCTGCAAGCCCAGCAGTGAGCAGGGGCTTCACATGAACAATCTTCCCTCTTCCTTTGCCTCCACAGGCCTTTGAAAGTGGAACGAGGCCGGAAGAAATCTGACCTGATCCCTGAAAGGAGGATGGAGAAGAAAAAGGGTGAGAGCCCCGTTGCTCACCATCACAGAGGGGAGGAGAGAGAAAGAAGGGATCAGGGTTGGTTCCCCCATCCCACGGAAGAGGAGGGATCTTTCCCGCAGGGATCGGTGTGGTGGTGCTGGGGCCCTTCCCAGCACTGCTGTGGGCCTGGCATTGTGTTGGGAAGTACAGCGTGTGCAGAGGCAACAGTGAGCTTCCTACAAACATCCCCAACCCATCCTCCTCAGAGAGGCCCCTGAGGCTGTGTTTGACCTTGGAGATGTAGGAGGAAACCAAACCCTTGCTGGGGGAGAGGTCCTGTGCTCTGCTCTGGTGTTCTGATGCCATTGGTGTCTCTCTCTTGCTGCTGCAGAGCCCACAGTCGAAGAGAAACTTCAGAAGCTTCACAGTGAGATCAAGTTTGCCCTGAAGGTGGATAACCCGGTGAGTTACCTGCTGGTGTCCTCAGCCACCATGTGAGCTCAGCCTGGCTGTGATACCTGGGGGTGCTCAGCCTGGCTGCGCCTCCTCTTGCCTTTCGGGGTGCTGGGTGGCGTTAGGGGATGGTGCTCCACACACTGCTACCCCAGGTGCCCACAGGGAGGCTTCCAGGCCCCTTCTGATCCTGGTGTCACCCTTGCAGGACATCAAGCGGTGTCTAAATGCACTAGAAGAGCTGGGCACGCTCCAGGTCACCTCTCACATCCTCCAGAAGCACACTGACGTGGTGGCTACGCTGAAGAAGGTAGGACAGAGGGTTGAGTCCCTGCCTGCTCGGAGCCAGGAAGCCTGCTTGGGCCACCCCAGCCCCAAGGACATCCCTCCTCCTCCTTCCTGGCGCAGATCCGTCGCTATAAAGCAAACAAGGACGTGATGGAGAAAGCTGCTGAGGTCTACACCCGGTTGAAGTCGCGTGTGCTGGGACCAAAGATGGAGGCGATCCAGAAAGCCAACAAAGCCGGGCCTGAGAAGGACAAGGCGGAGGCTGAGAAGGGGCAGGAGAAGCTGGCAGGAGGGGAGCCACGGAATGAGAAGGGTGAAGAGGAGACGAGTGCTGGTAACGCTCCTGCGCGGCTCGGGCTGTCCCCCGCTCTGTGCAGGCACAGGGTGATCCCAGGGCATGTCCCATCCCCCTGGGGACATGAGCAGGGCTGGCTCTTGGTCTGGGGGCTGCAGGGGCTGGTGGCACGTGGAACACTTCCAGTCCTGTCTTGCTGGAGTGGGAAGGGACTGCCCAGGCAGCGCTGGCGGCAGTGAGAGCAGAGGGCAAAGCTCGGGGCCCACACCCCGCCTTTGGGTGCCTCTGGGCTGGGGTTTGGCTCAGGGTGGCTCCTCACGGGCACCAGGGAGCTGCAGGAACGCAGAGACGCCCTTGGCCGTGG